ATAGTGTAAATCAAATGCTAAAAAACACTATAGTGGAAAAAGTAATTCCTAACTTGTATGTATACAAGATGGTGCAAACCAAATGCTAAAACAAATATTTCAATATTTAGTTTTAAATAATACTAAAAATATTATTAATAGATTGGTTAGATTATGCACATCATAAATGTGATTATAATTAAACCAAAAATTAAATATATTTATTATAAATAAATAACTTAAAATAACAAAATATTATAAAAATGTATTATATAGAAGATATGGTTGGAGTGAGTATAAAAAATTGAATATGTAAAACACTATTGATAGTGTAAAATAAATTTTACACTATCACTTTTTCCACATCTTGGCTCAAATTATTTTGGAGCAATGCTAGGGGTACACCCTTCTCCACCACTCATTTTTATCTACTTTTTATTTATTTAATTTTTTAAAAAATTTTTGCCCATTTTTGTAGTAATGGAGGGGGTGGGGGACAAATGGGGTACACCTTTGGTGTACCCCTAGCATTTTTCATTATTTTGAGATTGTCTAGTGTAGTATTATTCCTACAAGTCCCAAAGTAATTATAGATTGTCTATACCTAGGACTATTTTTTTCCAAAAATTATTCTTAGATTATCTAAAATTCTTAAGTTTTAAAAAAAGTTAGGAGAAAGGGAAGATGCCTTCCATGGAAGGGCATTGCAGTCATTTACCTGACTTAATTCACTCTTTTTAGTTTATGTGTCAAAAGGAAAGTAATTAAACAAGTCTCGGGCGGAAGGAGTATTTCTCCCTTAAATTTTTCTATCGTGCTCTTGAATATGTTCTTCAATTATTTGATCTAATTAAAAAAATGTGAAAATTGGTCAACAAAAACAATGTCCAACACCATCATTAAAAAAAAGTTAAGCAAGGATGTGGATTAACATTTGCAAGGCATTGAATAATTAATAGGGTGGATATTTGTCAAACCAGTAGGCCGGCCGATTCCCCACCTTCATATAATTGCGTAAAGCCAAAGATTCTCTTTTGAAATTTGAATTTAGAATCAAAAATTTAAACACACTTTATGACTTGTTGCATTAGATGTCTCCTTTATAATCTAGGGATGAATGTCTAGTTGACTTTTTTTACCCCACTACTCAACCTATTCATCTCTCTCAATCACTATTTTGGTAATTAATCATTTGTTTACTCCCTCACTCTATATTGATTCTTTCACTAGACTCGTACCTGTGCGATGCACGGACTATTATTTGACATATAATTATTCAATGTTTTAAATATTCGCATTTCTTGATTATATATATATATATATATATATATATATATATATATATATATATATATATATATATATATATATATATATATATATATATATATATATCATTTTGTATGCATCTCATCACTATTTGTATGTTATCTATTTCGTGAGTTATTTAATTCCTATTCAGTGTAATCCCTATTTAAAAATCTATGCCTATATGAATGATATCTAATAATTTACTGTGTATATAATTATTAAAAACCGGGTATCAAATCTGAGCTATTGTATATATTTTTTTATATATATGTGCTAAATATTACATACCATATATATACACATATACATACATACATACATACATACATATATATATATATATATCTTCTTATTTAGTATATATGTATTAAACTATATATCATAGTTATAGATATGTATAAATTCTTAATATACTACTGCATAATCATGAATTGCAAACTTGTTTGTGTGTGTAAACGGGAACAAAATAACACGCACGGCCCGTAACTTGAACATCAAAGCCGTCCTGTTGTTGCCAAGCTTGCCAACGGGAGACCACATGCTTAAAGAAGACGTTTGAGACATTTGATGATTTTTTTTGGATGTTTGAGAAGTGAATTTGAAAGGAATGAAGTTTACATCATAATGCTAGAGTATTTATATACATGCCCCATGATTTCTTTAACCATGCATTAAATGCTTTAGATATTAAAAATCTTTAAAATAGATGGATTTGACACAAAGTAAGTTTTTTTTAAAATTAACTTTATGGAGCCACTAAATCATGGTTACCAATGCAACTTTATGGAAGATGACAATTGAATAGACATAAAGTAAAAAGTAGATTTGATGTTTAGAAAAGGTGAAACACGTCCATCAATGCAGGCCCATATCCGTCCACTAATGCAGGTCCAAACCCGAACCAAGGACCACTTACTTTTGGCGGGAACACTGTTCATCAAAAATGCACCTAGCATTGTATATAGGAGGATACGTAGTACATTATTCATACAGTCAAATCTTATTCATTATACTCCCTTCGTCCCCAATTTGATTACAAATTGCGAGTTACAGAGTAAAATTTCCTACTTTTTGAAATCATTTTATTTACAAATTGGTATGTCAATAAGATATAAAAATTACATATTAAAAAATTACGTCAAAAGTTCTACAAAACAAGAGGTGACAAGAATATTTTATTTTATCAAATACTTAATGAAATTGCGTAAACAAACAAAAGTTATCGAGATAAGAGGAAAAAAATTGTAATCCATTTAGGGACAGAGGGAGTATTATTTTAATAATTCATTTCATGATATAATATGATCATGTCACCTCTTTTTTATAAAACTTTTTATCTAATTTTTAAGAAGAAATCACCCCAGAATCATGGTTATGGGTAAAAAAGAATGAAAATATCAAAATAAGAGTTCTACATCTTTTAAGACCAAAATAGAAGTATAATGGCATTGTGGTGTAAGAATATGCGTTGGTTGTATGATAGAAAATTGATAACAATGTAATATGCTTATCAATTAACCGCCGATGATCCACGACGGCACTTTGGTAGCTGGCGGAGACGGATGCCATTGTGACGATGATAATATGGCAGTTACAATGTTGTGTCAAGGTAGTGAGTGACAATATAACAATGACAGCGGGAACTCTTATTTTTGTCTTAAAAAACTTATGACTCTTATTTTAGTATTTTCATAGTTTTTTACTCCTATCTTGAAAGTTCTCCCAAAACCTCCCTAGATAGAGTAAAAAACTATGAAAATATCAAAATAGGAGTCATAAGTCTTTTAAAACCAAAATAGAAGTTAGCACTGTCATTATTACACTAAGACACCCACCACATTGTCACATTGTAACTGTCATACTACCACCGTCACTACCATTGGAGTGTCGCTGCGGATCACCAATGATTGGCTGATCACACTCAGTGTAATCACTTTTCCATCACACTCCTAACGCATACTCTTACAGTACATTGATATCATACTCCTATTTTGAGTCTAAAAGACTTTGATATTTTCATACTTTTTTATTCCTATCCATGTAGATTTTTTATTTTTAAATATATAAACTTTATATTTGAATTTTACATGTACAACTAAATAAATTGATTTGAAAATAAAATCAATCTAGTCTCGTAATGCGTAATGAGAAGAACCAACTTAAACCGGTCAAAGAAGACGCTCAAATACTCGACCGGTCAAAGTTGATTTTCCAGGATGGGAGACCTAAATCTTCAGTTGTATACTTCAGATAGTATACCGGTCAAACTACTTTATTACCTCGTTTATCACCCGTTTCGGAAAGCTCATCCTTCATAAGTCACCCGTTTCGGAAAGCTCATCCTTCAAAGTGCTACATGACGAGGGAGCAATCTTCCTCACTAGGCGACAAGACCGCTATACGACAGAGGCAATCACCTCGCACCATCCCAGTAATATACACTGACGTGGGTGCACGACGCTTTGTCCCCTTTAACTTAGTTTAAATATTGTTGTAACCTTCGAAGGAAGGGATCCGATTTCTTCTCTCTACGCTCCCTTGTAAAAGCTCCCGTGTATTCTCCTATATTTATAATATCAATTAGGCTACAGGTGTTTCCACCTACAGTCCTCCCGATCATTTTGTGTGTTTTTACACTCTTACTTTTCAAATCAAGTGAACAATCTTAGATCTGGTCTAGTACTGTTTATAAGGTAAAACATTTGTGTTCTTAAAAAATAATTTTTGTTTTTAAAATCATTGTCCATTTAAGCTTTTAGATACATAAAAATTATTTCCTTCGTGCCAAATTAAATTATCTATTTATTATTCAAAGAATCAAACTTTATTCACTTTCTTTCCCTATTTTTGTTAGTCATTTAATAAAATATAGTCACGTCACCACTAGTTTTTGTAGATCTTTTAATGTAGCTTTTAAATATGTAAATTTTATTTTTTAATTTTACACTATTTTTCATATAAAATAATTTAATTGTAACTTATGTTGAACATCATTAACCAAAACACATAACTTAAATTAAGACCAATAGAGTAAATAAATACGGAAATGTACTATGTACAATACATATTTGTTTGATTCTTAATTTGTCTATAAAAACACAATAAATAGTTACTCCCTCCGTCCCAAAAAGAATGGGACGGTTTGACTTTTTGGAAAATTAAGGAAGAGATATTTTGGTATTGACTTTCCAAAAATACCCTTGATGTGATGGGTAAAAGTAGAATTCGATGGGTAGATTATTAGAAAAAAGGTATAATGTGATAGGTAGGGTATGAAAAAGTAAGGGGTAAAAGTGGTTTTTTAATAGAAATGTAACGGACTTTATGGAACGCAGTTTTTTCTAAACGTAACAAACTTTTTGGGATGGAGGGAGTATTTAAAATATGATGGAATAGAGAAGTTATGAAAATCGATTGCATTAACTAAAACAAAATACAAAATACTCTGTATATAATACACTAAGAAACGGAGTACAAAGTAAATAAGGTAACTAACTATACAAGGAGTAAAAAACTATAGAATTAAGGATAATGCTAAGAACCCACCAATCACACCCACACTACTCATGACAATACAGATGAGTTTATACCTGCACTGACAATTATCGACTATGTTGCTCACAGATGATTATCGGCTTTGTGTGGGCATGAAAACATATGTATTGTCATGCATTGAGGCATGGGTTGAGGCACTGTAGCACATTCCTAGAAATAAAGGAAAGAATTAATTGACAAAGCATCTTCCTAAATGAAAAGATATCACTCCATGAATTGATCCTTAACATAAGTAAAATAATATCCTCCCTAAATAGACATTATTTGAAACAATTTTTCAGTCACTACCGCTTTCGAAGATTAAAATAGACACAAACAGATACTCTGTACTTCAGAATTAGTATATTAAAGCTTCATCGACATTAAATAAAAACCCAAGAAATTTGAATGGGGGACAAAGAGGAACAAAGAATAGGTGAACAGAGACTACCAGAAAGGACTGATAATACTGCTGAGATTTTAGCCATAGTGTACACAAACCCTGGGGCACTAATAAGTGTGACAACAAATTAATCATCAGTAACGACCACTATTATCATAATAATAATAACCTAGCACTGCAACCTCGTGATCAACCCTCCAGTAATTTGCGTCGCTAAATTCTTTTATAGCAGTGCTGCCACCGCCCTCGTCGGAGTTGTCTTTTTCTTGGGGTGAAACGACAGCGATGCTCCTTTTCAAGGGAGCCGCTTCTCCGACAATCCCTTCCTTGAGAGCATGTTCCATTGCCTTTTCGGTTCCTTCCAATTCCACGCCTACGAATTCCACGTCCTCTTCGAACAAAGAAGGGACGGTGGCTGGTTTCTGGCTGGGATCGGAAGTGAACGGAGTTTTCACGGAGTCAGGAGTTGAGGCGGCATCACACGGTTGTAGTGCTGGTGGTGGTGGGGAGGTCGTGCTTGCCTCCACCGGGGAATCATTGTTAGATGAGATGGGTGGGTCAAGAAAGGGGTTCAGATTGGATCTTTCAACATGTAGATCTGTGGCATCACCCCATGCTACCCATTTGGGGATAGGCCGATCTCCAAACAGGTCTTCGTCTGATGTCTCAAAACGGAAGAAGTCTGTATCTCTCCCATTAAATCCGTTGAGGATGTTTGGGTTTAAACCACCCTTGCCGTCAGCCACCAACTCTTCATCCTCCGTTCCAACAACCACCTCATCATCACTGTTACTGTTACCGCCGCCACCACTGTTTGGTGATCCTTTCAGGTTGATCTCCTCCATCATTTCTGATATTGAGGATGTAGCACCATCTATTCTATCGTCTTGGAAAGCAAACCAATTTGAATTCGTGAATAAACTGCAGCAAGAATTAAAAGAGACCATGTCATACACAAACATTGGGGGAGACAGAAGCAATCATAAAAACAAACATCTTCTCGTCCAAATAGCTGCTGAGTGCTGGCAGCAAACCAGATGGCGCAAAATTGTTGCCATTAAAGCCACAAATAACTTCTAAAAAGAAAAACAAAACAAAGAAATCGGGTTCTGTTGGTCGATTATGAACATAAAGCTCACCTCCCCTGGTCATCTCCCAACCTCAGGGATGATATTACAACTTCAGCAGACTCGTCATCAAAGTACTGCAGATACATGAAACAATTACGATGTTACCAAATCAGTCACAAAATTTGGACAAGAATAAAGATACATCAAACATATTGTGCGAATATGTTAGTCCCTCCGTCTCACTATGTTTGTCTCACTTTTCCCAAAACATTTGTCCCATGCCATGTTTTGCAACATTTATGTGGCTCAAGATAATCTATAACTTCACAAAAACACACAACTTAACTTCTTTGTGGGGCGAAAATTGAGTTTAGTGTAAAATCTAAAAACTTAGGAAACAAGAGCATTGAGAATTGAGAACATATTTAGGCGTTTACTTTTTCACTGACAAGATTTGGAAAATGGGAAACTTTCTTTGATTTACATGTTCCCTCAAATTTTGGAATGAAAAAACTAGGCACTTGGGGTTTCCAGTGTGAAATGCAAAAACAACATGAGCACCTTACTGCTGAGTGCTAACTACAGCTGGCAGTGAGGTAGGGGTGAAGGGGCAGGTTTGCTAAACATTCATAGCTTTTGTTTACAAAATTTGCAATTAAAAAATGAGGATTGACACAAACAAAAAAGAACGGCCTAGTTAATTAGCAAAAGAGAATGATCAAATAGCATTGAAAACTTTTACCTCATCATCCCGGTCAAGGGCTCCTTGACCCTGCAAATGTGTAGTACATCAAGAGAGGCTTTTAATAAAACTCAAACAGGGAATTTTAAAGAAAAGTCCTTCAGTTAGGACTTGAGATAAGGAATAGCCAGATGACAAGGTTTGCTTCCATTACCTCCTCAGCCTTATCATTATCATATATTGTGTATCTGAATGCTTGGCTCAAGTTATTAGCTAAAGCAGATACATCATAATCTCTGTCATGAGCATCTTCCTCATCACTGTCTCTTGTCTGATCATGCAAGGCAGTAGGACGGCTGCACCCATGCAAAATAATAAAGAACCAATTTTAACCAAAAGTGAAACCCAATGAAATTTCATATTTTTTTATCTGCACTCACTTGGACTTGTAATAAAAGAGATTTAATAAAGACCAATATTAGCTTCTGGTAGGTTGATCATATCAACAATTAAATGGCTAGATTAGAGTGCAGTAGCTAGCTCATTACACTTTTGATGAAAAGTAATCAAATTTGGAAAGGAAAAAAACATTAAAACATACCCACATGCCCATCGATGTACATTCTCAGTTCTATTACGATCTTGCAAAACTGTAGCTTGCCATTCACTCCAGCCAGTAACATTCTGGAAAAACCCAAATGTGATTTCTTAAGTGAATGTTATATGAAAAGGAATATCATTCTACAGGAATGACATGGTGTTGGAATTATGTAGATTTCAGCCACAACCAGGAAATAAATTCAAAGAGTAGCAGTGTTCCAATTACACACATTTTTACTAAAATTGAATAACTTACAATCCCTTTGTATCACTATTTCTGTCTCTTCACTATTTTATGTATCCCACTATTTTTACCATGCATATTTAGTAGTACTTGTGTGACTCGCTATTTCTTTCTTTACTTTTTTTAGGTTACTTTTTTACTTCTTAACATCATTACAACACAATTTTACATTTCTTAATTAGCATATTACTTGTTAGATTTAATCGGGTTTGTTCACATATAACTGAATGGGTAATAAGTCAATGTTCTGGTCAGTTACTATGGTGTCAGTTAGTGTGTTTTACATATTTAATTAATTTAAAAATAACAGTTGGGTAGATTCTAAAAGCAGTTATGGGTAGTTTCCAATGTTAATAGGTGTGTTGGTTCGTAATAGTTGCGTTGGTTCCAAGGTTTTAAAAGGCGAAAACTAGCCTCGAGGCGGTAGAGGAAAATGCCTCGAGGCGTAAGCCTCGAGGCGGAACAAGGCGTAAGCCTCAGATCAACTTGATAAAAGATAACAAACAAAACAACTTTTAGGTAAACAAAATGCATAATCCATAATTATGTCAAATAAGTCATTAAGTAATACATAAGTTTTCATTTAAAGCAAAAAAGGGGGGCAGAATAAAAACGCAATAAGATAATCATGATTCAAGATAACCAAAACACTAAAAAAGTTGATGTAAAACCAAACTATATGTAAAAGATTAAATTTAAAGTAATNTTAACAATGAAAAATCTTAAAATTTAATAATGAAAAATCTTAAAATTGGCTAACTTAAAATTCTTCAAGTTGCTGGAATTTTGGAAAATAAAATTACCAGAGTAAAAAAAAGTTAAAACAAATCTTCAAGAAATCATAAATTCGTACCTTAAGAGAGAAACGAGAATAGGAAGCCAAATTGCACAGGGAAAGCCGCGACCAGAGAGAAACGACCGGAAGCCAGAGCGAAAGAGAGAGACGGCGAAAGAGAGAGAATCGGAAGCTGGACAGCCACGCAGGGGTGCGATTGGAAAATTGGAACTTTAAGAGTTTTTATTTATTTATATTTAAGTAGTGCTTCCTGCCTAACTTTTTCAAAGGGACCAACTATTTGAAGGCCCAATAACTTAAATTCAAAAGGGCAGAATATGGCTTATACGGACTATATTTCAAGGCGAACGCCTCGTTTCCTCCTCAGTGCCTTACCGCCTCGAACCGCCTCAATAAATCAAGGCGTACGCCTCGCGGAAATCATCTGGTGCGAACGCCTCTGGGGCAAAAAACTACCGCCTCAGCGCCTTACCGCCTCAGGGCGGACCGCCTTTTTCGCCTTTTAAAACCATGGTTGGTTCGTTCTCTATTTATATTTAAAGAACACAATGAATCCTGTAGCAAGTTCACAACAATAAAATAATCTAGTTTGCTTTGATCTGGTCCTGTCTAAGATCACTATACCAAGTCCAATCTAATTTTTTTTAATCCAAACTAAAAGCTTGCCCAATCTTAACTTTTATATATCCATACTTTGGTGGATTTGTCTAAAAACCTTTATTATTTTCTATCATAAATTAGTATAATAAATCAATTCCAAAAACAAATTCCCATTTTGGTTTACAATGATTGACTAGAGATATTTTCAATTCGTTTACATTGAAAATTGGTATAGAAATTAATAATAAATTTAAAAAATACATCAAAAAAGTCTACAAAACTAGAGGTGACAAGACTACGTTAATATTCATGGAAAGTGATTTAGTCTGACCATGTAATAGTAACGGAAAATGGGGGGTAGAGTAAGTGTTTTTAATATACATCATGTCACCAGTGCTTTTACGTTGTTCAACTCAATTGCGTTATTATTTTTTTGACATTGATAAACACTAATAACAAAAATTAAAATAATAATAATGCTAATGTGAATAACAATAATCATAGAAAAAATGTATGTAAATGATTTGAAATTCATAGTGGGAAGGAATTGGAATGAGTTAGAAGAAATTAAAAGAAGTTTGAAAAATGGAGAAGTTCGATTAAATGGGAAAAAGTTGAAAGAAACTAGAAAGAAATTGAAGAAAGTGAAAGGAATTGGAAGTTAAGAATTCCTACCCAAAAGAATAGAACCTTAGTTGCATATTAATACAAGAATTATATGAAGCACTAATAACAAAAATTATAATAATAATAATGCTAATGTGAATAACAATAATCATAGAAAAAAATGTATGTAAATGATTTGAAATTCATAGTGGGAAGGAATTGGAATGAGTTAGAAGAAATTAAAAGAAGTTTGAAAAATGGAGAAGTTCGATTAAATGGGAAAAAGTTGAAAGAAACTAGAAAGAAATTGAAGAAAGTGAAAGGAATTGGAAGTTAAGAATTCCTACCCAAAAGAATAGAACCTTAATTGCATATTAATACAAGAATTATATGAAGAAATGTGGTACCTCAAGATGTGCCCGAATGTGACTATCATTGCTTCCCAGTTGTACAAGTTTATTAGAGATTCGCGTTAGGTGTCCAATGTTTCCCATCCGTGGTACTCGTTTTCCAGCCGCAGGAAGAGTTGCCTTGATCAATTAAGGCACAACTAATCAGTAGATCAAAGTAATCCCACATAACGAGTTCAAAAAAAATAAGAGTTCACAAACTCATGTTCTTGATTATGAAGTACGCCTTCAGAAGATATGTGTTAGGAGCATAAATGGTCGAGGACTTCAGATATAATTACCTGATTCACATCAGTGGATATGGTTGGTTGTTTATCTGTTTGAAGTATTTTTCCAGCCAAATTATAATCTTGAAAAAGATGGTCAGTTATGAAACTATTTTTGCTTTCCAAGCAGGTGTAGACTATACTCTCAACATAATGATGCAAAGCATTATTATATGGGTACCTGTATCAATTAAACAAACATATTAAAAACAAAGACAATGTCCAGAAACCAAGAGACCAACTATCTTGTTCATTGTAACATGTTATACCATGTTCAAAGACATGTGAGCATTTAAACACAAACTTACTCAAAAAAGAGATCCAGGATTCTATGAATTGTCCCTGATTTGATTAACTCTCTCTGTGCTACTTCATTGGCAGATTTCAGTAGAACAGAAATGAATTCCACAATCTACATTAAGCAGAACTAGATTAGGATTCAAAGGTGAACAAATTATAAATCTTGTACAATTAAACTAGCATCCATAGTAAGATACAAGTGTTAAACATTTCACTTTTGCACACAACATTTATGTTTTTAGTTGTGTTCATTGCCTGTTGAGCTAAAACGGTCATTTTTTACAACATTTTATTGTAGAGCAAAAAAGACCCTCAATCAATATCACATGTAATGCTTCTTTTGATTCTTGCTTACTTGCTTTCTATGAAGGTTTGAGTAGTAAATGCAGCAATGCATAAGAGGTCTAACACAAACAGCCTCTTTGTTATTACAGGGCTAATGTTGTGTGCTACACTTGGGAAACAAAACCATAAACAAAATTTATCCGTGCAAATAAACAGACTCGCAGCACAATTTTTTAGAAGGCACTTCTGAAATAACTCTACAATTATTTTATTTTTACTTTGTATAATTTAAGAAAAAACTAAACAGGATCCAAGACTCCAAGTATAGAAGGAGAAAAGGAAAACTTATAAAGAAGGTAGCAAGCTAAGTTAAGGTTAACCCTTCTGATTAAAATAACCTTTAAGCGGTGCTTCCCAAGAGGAGGCCTCAATTCACCATATGTTGTAGGCAGAACCTTCTCATCAGAAGAAACATTTAACAGCATCAGCAAGTCACCTACATAACAATAGCCATTACCATAGTAACATTGCAATGTTGGATCAGAGAAAATTGCGTTCACAAGTTGTCACATATAACACATATCGTGAACTCATGATTGGTAAAATCATTTTGTGCAGAGGCTACTGAAATACTTGGAACTATCCTCACCCAAAAGCCTATCAAAGCAGCTTAGAATGCCACAGAATTATCCTAGAAGATCCTGATATCCTTACATAGTACCAAAGAGTTTGCATCATGATGCTTTCTTGCATTAAATTGTTGTGAGAATACTCTTATTAAAAGATATAGCTGATGAGGTGAACATTACATATGCATATACATATATAGTATGCATTAAAACAAGGGTTCCAAGAGTATATTTATCCCCACAGCATATCAAATGTACTTTGCATAATGTGCGTTCACACTCACCAAGCTTAGGCAGCATAGCACCAATAGTGTCAGAATCCACATGCAGAGGAGCCTCGTACATGTGCTGGGTTCGGAATGAATACATCATGGATGACGGAATTGATCTTTTTGGGTCCAACAAAGAAATACAGACAGACAGCGAGTAGACAAGGGCGGATCTTGAAAGTGAATCTTCAAGTGCATGACCAAATACTCTTGCAACAAAACTGAAAAAGAGAATATTAGGCACAGATTGTTCTTATATTAGGAAATAAACCAACTTTCAAAGAAAATGCAAGGGAAGCCCTGAAAACCTTGGGCTTGATAGCTTTGTAGCAAGAGGAGATGGTGAATTTCTGGTAATTGTGCAGAGTGTCTCTGCTGCATTTGCATGCACTTCGGGAGGACACTGGAGTATATAAAAAATAGATAGCATTAAATTATTCATGTTTCTGAAATAATAGGAATTATAATCATCAACAAAATGAATTTTTCATATTTAGTGTCAAGATTGAGCATTTGAAAAAATACTACCATTAAAACATTGATCTAACATGGCTAATATGGTCTATCACCATTGTATAAAAGACTGAGAAGTTTTGAATTACAATGAAAGTAAAGTATCTCGACAATAAGTTGAGTACAATAGAGTAGGCAAGCACAGTAAATGCGTACATTAGAACAGAATAAAACAGAACATCATAGAGCTGAAAACAGCAATAGTTGTACATACAGAAGGGCTTAGTTTATCCACAATCATTTCTAACAAATTGCTATCAGCCAACCATTGTGAGACATCTGTAGAGTTGGGATAGTTATGATCATCAGCCCCAACAAGACGCACCAAAACCTGAACAAAACATCTAGTTAGCGCCAAATATCAATGCCATTGGAATGTTAGTTAGCACCAACTAATACTATATCTTACATAATAAAAAAACATATGCTCAGCTGCAATTTTAAAATCCCATTACTGACCTCCATGATGGAAGTGATACCAATCAAATCAACCATGAGCCCGAACACGTCATGATGGGCCTGCAATAAGTGAGCAAGGAACTGGGTCACCAGAAATGTGGACACAAAAGTAAAAGACTGCTGATCTAACAGTATATTTTGCACACCAAAATCATTTTGTAAACAAATGAGTAGCATAGAGTACAAAATAATATTTTGGCCATGTGGGCTAGTTAAAATTACTGACACTTCTATGGAAGTCAAGCATTGCTTATTTTCGGTTGAGAGAGCAAAAAATGAAATAAAACTAGGGTTTATGAGCTCATGGATCCAACACCATGTTGGCTAGGAGAAAATAAAACATTGTTGATCGAGGGACTTTTTATTTGCATGTGCATACATGCAGTTTATACACTACAAACAATGAATTGTTCAATGAAGCATAAAAATAGGAAAAGTAGTAGAACGATGAATCCAAGATTTATACAAGCTTTAATTTGGTATAAGATGCTTTGCTTTTAACATCAAGGGAATCAATATATGAGCCTCAAAGGTAGGACTACAGTATATTATATATAATACTTCTAAACAGTCATATCATTCATTTAAATCTGAAATCATAAAGTGAACATTGTTAAATAAATATCATCAGTAACTCAAATTCATACCACCATTTGCACGGTAATACTCAAGACTTAAAAAAACAGTCAAATGCTTAGCTATGTGCAACATACATAGTACTCCCTCCGTCCAAAAATTATCTTCTCATTCACTACTCACAAGGTCAAAATAAAGTACTCACCTTTACATAGTTCATGAGTGGAATAGTCTTCCGCACCATTAAACAAACTACAACCTGCAAGGCCCCATGGACTAATTAAAGCAAGTTTCTTTAGCCAATAAAAGATTCACATGCAAATACTGGCTTAAACTGATCAAAGTACATACCTTGCTAAAATATCCAGCAAGCAAGGCACTGTGATGCCGGCTTGATTCAAGAAAGGAGAAGAGAATATTCATTAACTGCCAAAAAAATTGCATTAAAAGTGTGGAGATATCAGATAAATATAAATATCAAATCCCAACTGTAATATTCAACTGCTGCAATTGAGCCGTGTTGGTGATTGATAACATACCTCTTCTTCCTCAACCAGAGTTTTAAGGATAACATCAATTTCACATGTGAATATCTCACATGCAATGAATGGAAACCTAAAATTTCAAAAAAAAAACTATTTTCAGGAGGGATAAAGAAACTTCCTTTGCTTGTATACATCAAATACCAATGTGCTAGAATTCATCTTGAAACATACTTGAAACTCCGTTTGTTATCAGCTTGGTCAAGAGATTCCTCAACAATATATCGTAGCAGCTGTTCAACCTGGGTTCTCTCCCTTAAACTGCAAATGACCAAAAAATATTTCAGCAGGGTCTCAGAAAATCGATGGCTTCAGGACTAGGAAGAAATATACTAAGACAAGATTGCAGCGGTATCTTAATCAAGCTTACAAATTAATGAGTCGACTATTCAAAGCCTTGCATTCTTGGATTATATCTTCTTCATCAAGAAGTTCTTCCAACGAGAAATTTTCCTTGTCAAGTATAGCTTCAATCTAGGGATCCAGAACATATGACATATCATAATGACACAGATTAATCAAGGGAAAAAATATTGCAGAAGCAGATTTCTTAATGCTAAGAACCAAATAGGAAATGAATAGCCCATATACTCCGTAAAATATAAAACATGGAGTGCTACGGGCAGCAAATCAGATGTTGGATCCTCCAGATTTTAATATGGGATTCGAAATGTTAATTCTAGTAGATAACTGATATATCACTAGGCATTTAGATATTTACGGTATGCTTTTAACAATTTAACAATTTATTAAACAAATAAAAAAGGATCCCGGCAACTTTTGGCGCCTGCCATTTGCTCTTCCAAGTTTGACCACAAATTTGAAATCAACTAACTAAACACATCAGATCTCTCCAACAAAACACTAAAAATTGAGAGTCACAATACTCAAATATTGTGCTAGTTTTTAATAGTTTTAGAACTTGAAAGCCCCTATGATAAGGTCAATTGTTGGTGCCCGAAGTTTAAATCACATAAATATATAAATATTCAGTTAATGAGTGTCCAGATTTGTAACTGCAGCTATGCAATCTGGTGCTGTGAATACAACACAATGAAGTGTCTTTATGAGCAATGAATGTCTGGACAGATTGGATTGACACTTCTCTACAGTTTGACATAAATACAAGTTTTCCAGGCAGCAGAAAAATATCTCCATTTCAAAACAAAAAGACAAATCTCTAACTAGGAAAGCTATTTCAAACATCGGCTTCTTATAAGATGGTACCCCCTCCAGGCCTCCAGGAAAAATGGAGAAAAATAACTGCATGTAGTAATATTTTTCCCTTCAGACCTCCCAATCGAATCAAAATGCGAAGATTGAAACATTGCAGCCAGAGGTAGAGACGGATCCGCTAACTTACCGTCGAAGGAGCCGAGAGAGGTGGGAGCTTCCAGAACATGACTCGAGCCGTGTACGTCTGCGACTGGAATGAATGCTCGACGCAAGCAGATACGCAAAATAAGGATAAGAGAACAGATCTGCAAACCCTAAATATGAATCTCGGATATTAGACCTCCGAACTCGAGAAGAATACAGCTGAGCGGAGAAGAAGAAGAAGGCATAAACCCTAGGCTTGAAGACGGAGAAGGGCAGCAGAGAAAAGGAAGGCGCAAAGACGGGGGCGGCTTAGAAAGAGAGAATACAGAGATTGGCGTTGGAAGAGACGAAGAGAAGAGATGAAAGAGATGGCTGCACAAGTACCAAATTAATGGAAAATTCAAATACGGTCAAATCCAAAAATCAATACTTGTAGGGAACACACCAAATGGATATGGACATCCCTTTTTTTTACGGTACATCTTTTTTAACAAATGAAAAAGAAAGAATAAAGAAGTAAAAACTTAAAAATATACTCCGTATTAAAATTAGAGTTTCATATTTTTATTTTTAAAATATAATTTTAAATGCATTTACAGTGTCAATCATAATCATGTATATTACCAAAAAATATTGTAAAGTGTCTTATATATAGTGTCACATTACTACAATCTAAACTCTTTTTTGAATAAAAATGTAGATATCTTATTTTAGTACTTTATCTATATTTTACTCTTATTTATGGCAATTTCTTTTTTACGGAGTAACAATCAGGGGATCTTTTGAGGTGATTAGAATAAAGAAATCTCCCTCGGTAGAAGTAAAAAATATGAAAATATCACAATAAGAGTCTAAAGTCTTTCAAAACCCAAACAAGAGTATAATAACAATGTGATGTAAGGGTACGCGTTAGCAGTGTGATGGAAAAATGATGACACTGTAATATATCAGTGTGATGATCAGTCAACCATCCACAACCCATGGCAGAACTTTGGTAGCCAGCGGCAACGCATGGCAGTGTGGCAATGATAGTATGGTAATTACAATATGACAGCGTGCTGAGTTTGACAGTGTAACAATGTCAGTGTGAACTTCTATTTTGATATTAAAAGATTTATCACTCTTGTTTTGATATTTTTATAGTCTTTACTCCTATTTAGAAAATTCTCCCATTACAATAACTTTTGTTGCTCTGAGGGCATTAGCTATATGTTTTATTTGTTGAGTGTTGGATGTATAATAGGATATGGATTTTGAAATTTGGAAAAGAAATGATATGAGTTTCGAATTATGGAATAAGTTGTTTAATTATTAATTGGCAGAGTCGCCAATAGCCAGGGTGATTGGCGGCGGAAGTGTTAGCCAGTGACAGGGTATGATTGACGGATGAAGAATATTTTAAATGTAACACTCTAATCCGTCCAGGTCTGCAGCCCCTTTTGGACTAAAGTATTGATTTGGTAATCGTGATAATTTAAAACATTTCAAACATTTTTATTTATAAATAATATTCCATACATAATTGTAGAAAATACGGAGTGTTTAATAATAATAATGCGGAAGCGACTTTTAAACATGTCTCATAACAACATAATTATTTATTTTGTTCAATGATCCACCACGACTGTCTCGCCCCTTCTGCTGCCAGGAATCAGCCAATCATTCATTCTATCTACCTGCGTGTAGCAAATAAAACACACTACACGCTCAGCGGTGAAGCTGAGTAAGCATATCTAAAGCGTCGAACATCCAAATAAATTGAATCTCAATTCATAATCAACCATTTGATATCATGCACACAATATATGATTCAAACATTCATGATATTCTCAATATTTTATTCCAAGTCATTTGATATTCAATATCTCAACCATGCTCTTAAATTATTCTTAATCTAAGGCCAAATCATTTTATAACAAACTCTTAGCTATTCCTAGTCTAAGGCAACATTTCTAACCAGGCCCTTAAACTATAAATAGTTTAATGCAGAACACAAGAATCGATAATCCACCCTATGGGTCATGTGGATTACGTACCAACTGAACAATGATTTGTCGGGTGGGTGATATCCGGTCTGGATCCTGTACGTATGTTTTAACCCCGAAATACGAATTGGTCAAGGAGGTATATCTTAGAGTTCTTCTAGATATCCTTAATAATATCATCATTATACAAGTGGGTATATCTTTAGAGTTCTTCTAGATATCCTTAACAACATTATTCATCAATTCATATTCTTAGTTCAACAATCATTTAATAATCTAGAATATTCATCAAATGAACAATTTAATAACAATCAGCGGCCTAGCATCGAGTGTTAACACCCTAGCTTACCGTCATGCATCACATAAGATCCCTTTTAGTTGTTAAAACACCATCTTTATTCCAAGAAATCATCTTTTTATTAATCATAATGGTTTGGTATCAAAATATAGGATTCCATAACTCAAAAATCATGTTTTCTAAATAAAAATTGATTAATATATGATAGGAAATTCAATTATTAGCTATTAGCTTCATTTTCTTCAATAGTGTAGGGAGACAGTCTACTGTCACTTCTGATAATCTACTGTCTGATGTTCAGAATGGGCTGATAATCGATTATCACACTCTAATAATCGATTATCAAACTTCAGAGAGGGCTGACAGTCGATTATCACATTCTGATAATCGACTGTTGCTCAGCTTTGTTACAAAAATCTGCAGAACGATGAATAATCGATTTTCAAGTTGATAATCGATTATCAATCGTCTTCTACCTCGAGCCAACTTGCGGAAATGTCACTTTTACTCACCAAACTTCAATTAAAGTATATAAAAATGTTCTCCAAGGTTCATGGATCATTTTAGCATCATTAATTCATAATTTTAACATCAATTTCATGGTTTATGATTCTTAGTTCTTCAAGTATGTCAAACACAAAACTCAACCAATTGACCATTTATGAACGTAGAAACGACCTATATGAACATTCTAATCATTAGATATATCTAGGGGCTTACTTTAATGTTAAACGATGATTCCGGTGAAAAGACGGCGAAACTTCCGGCGACAAAAGCTCTCAACTCCGGCGACCTCTCTCTGAAATGGAAACACCAGCAAACTCTCATCACTCAAGGCAGTAGAATAGAAAGAATTTTGGGATGATTTGGTGAAGAATTGAGGGAATAAAGATTTCTTAAATAGAGGAAGGAAGGAGAAGAAGACATGGATGAAATATTCATGAGTCACCAAAATCGGATAGTGCGCCGTTTGTACAGTGAGCGCCGATTGGAGTGTAGTCCCTGATTGGGACTAATTTCTGGTCCCAATTGGGGTACACTTTCTGGTCCAACTTTCTCCAAATTGAAATCCGATTGAACCGTTGGGGTCAGACAGTCAAACTCTACATAATGATGTGATTTTCATTATTTATTGACAAACTTTAGAATTTACTTATTTTTGGGTCCTTCTCAGTAATTAATTAATTATAAATTAATTAACTCTGATAGGCCTATTTTTGGGGTGTTACATTTCTCTCCCCCTTAAAATAATTTCGTCCTCGAAATTACCTGAGTCATTGGTTGAAGAGATTCAGATATTGCATCCTCATTGACTCTTCGGTTTCCCATGTTGCCTCTTCAGTCGAGTGATTCCTCCATAGCACTTTGACTAAGGGTACAGATTTGTTTCTCAATTGTTTGACCTCTTGTGCTAAAATTTGTACAGGTTCCTCTTCATAAGTCAATTGTTCGTCAAGAGTTACAATTCCCTCAGTCAAGATAACGCTACCTAGCCTTGCCATAGAAAAGTTGTAGCTATGTACCTTATGCAGTACCTAGAACAAGTTAAGACCACCTTCAAGATTGGCTATACGATGACCTGGGTGTGCAAGTCACTAAGCTATCCCTCCAATATATCTCGGACTTAGTTTTCCCTTCCTACCGAAACGTAGCACTTTCTTCCACGGTGAGACTTTCAGAATTTGAAAGATATCGAAACTTATCATTTGAAGGATTGTGGTATCTAGAGATATCAAATTCAAATTCCTTTTATGTCTCACCAAATAACAAAAAAGAAATCAAATATCATGATATATGGAAATCATATCTCCTACGTTCACTAGACAGACGCTAACTTTTGTTTTGTGATTGGTAAAACCCCTTATTTAATCACAAAGGACTCTTTTAGCCTCCAAATAATAGTTCCTTTATAAATCATATATATATGTGTGTGTGTGTGTGTGTGTGTGTGTATGTATGTATGTAAAGGAGAGTTCATTAGTTGTAGTGGAGACACGTGGCGTATGACATGACGAAATTTGTATCTACATGGCATAGTATCATCATTTTATTGGTCCACATGGAATTTGTTAGTTTATTTTTTATTTAAAAGATTGTTCATAATTATTTATGTTAATTACCATAAACTTGTATTTATAATACTTTTCATATTCTAATTATTATATTATTATGTCGTCTTTCATCATTTCAAAAGATATTTTAATATCTTATAATTAATTAATTACTTTTTTAAAGGTTATATAAACTTTATTAAATTTTTTAAAAGACAAATGTTTGTATAAATGTTTACACCATTTTCCACTTTTATTCCATTTTAAAAATATAGATTTATACGAAATATGGTACATTTTCGTCATTCTTAAAATTATAATTTTTATTTTAAAATAATTGCATAGGCATTACTTAAAACTGTTTTCCATTTCTTATATATTTTTTATTGTACCTACGATTAAAAATATCTTATTCAGTGGTTAAAACATAAATATATATATGCACATACCAAAGGAAAAATATGTATTATTATATTCAATGACTAATTCTTTTGCATAAACTTTTTTTATTTTATTAGTATTATATGAATATTCATTTAATGAGTTGAAAAATCTAAAAAATTTAAGTTTTCAAACTATTCATCATTTTTTCTTTTTATTGCCTTTCAAGTATAATAATTATATAAATTTTAGAGTAGGAAAATCATTGTTAAAATACAAATTATGGGCTGATAAGTTCTTTTCTGGATGGAGGGAGTATATAAATGTCGAGTATTTAGTTATGTTCAAATATGTAGTTATTCAATACTTTAGATGTGAAATTGCGTGAATGATCATGTGAATTCCAAATATATTAAAGTTATTGACATTATAAAGAGTAAGATTTCAGTGTACAAAAAGTTGTTTAAAATTCGTATTAACAATTCAAACTTTTCCTTTAAAATTTTAAATACTCCGGTAAAATTTTCTATCAAAATTATAAATTTGATTAGTGTAATGTAAAATAATAAGAGTCATAAGGGAAATTAATAAACACATCCTCCCCACACATACCATGATATTTCCAAAAAATGAAAGGTGTATGTAAGTTATTTACAAATAGTTAGTGTATTATGCTTCATATGTAATATTTATGTTTTCTATTCATAGGCAATGCGATAGAAAAATTGTAATTCACTTTTTTTTTTATTTAATTTAGGTTTATATTTTAATATAATAAAAATTTTATAGATATAGTTTACAGAAAAATATGCGAGCCCGTGCGGATCACGGGGTAAAATATAAATAACTTATAAAATTATATCTTTTTTAAAATGACTTTCTTTGCAAATTATTATAGACATAAAAAATAAAAATTATAGATTTAAAAGGAACATCAAAACTTTTACAAAATAAGTAATGATATGCTTATTTTATCAAATGATCAAAGAATACACTTATTCAAACAAATAGGTTATCAAAAGTCTCGAACAGTAAAGAGAATGATTAATTGGAGATGTGAGAAAAAATTATTTATACTCTGTATTCATCTCAAAATAATTTGTATACTTTAGATTTTCTCCTTTCTTTTTTGAAAAGAACATTTTAAAATATTTATTTTTCGTCTAGATAAATTCTAGTCATTCACTTTTTTCAACACATTTTAATGCCTTCTCAAGTTTTTTTTTAAATATTTCTAAAATTAAAATGTATGGGGTGGTTTTACCCACAACATCAGCCTTCTAGATTGGGTTCCTACCTCATGGGATTTTCGTTCGTACAATCAATGGGAACCTCAATATTCCCTAATGACTATTTAATTTTTCGTCCGTACGTTGGTAGAGATGATTAGATGAGCAAAATTGTCACAATAAAAAAATGACTTCTCCTTTCCATTCCAACCAAATATTTTCCTTTCATTCACTATCACAAGCTTTTCTGCATCATTGGAGTTTTATAAAATGAATTAGAGATTTTGGCTTAGTGCGTAACATTTTTTTAGCCAAAGCATGTGCATCTTAAAGGATTCCATAGTCCGTAGAAATCTTGGGTCGTGATAATGGATTTCTGGTATGCTTTTTTGGAAGATAATCCACCAAAATTCATAGTGTTAAAATTCTTGGACAATTGAATACCTAAATATTTTTAAGACTTTTTAAAATTCTTATTGAATACCTCAAAATTTCTAAAGACTTTTGTAAATCCGGATTGAATACTCCTAGATTTTGAAAGTCTAAAAAATCATATAAACTTCCAATTGCACACATCTCTCATAGTTCAGGGCATATTCGGAGATTGGATTTCAAATGACTTTTGGGTGTCTTCACTGATCTTGACTATTTTGACCATTCAAGTAGCCAAATAGAGTATTTGACAAATGTCGGTTGAAGATGGTTGTTAGAATCTGAAAAAACCAAAATATGAAAAGTTGTAAGGAGTAGCCCTTCGAGTTGGCTCTTGGCTATTAGAGTATAATTATTTTTTGTATAAATATTAAATAAATAAGAAAAAATACATTTAAAGTAAATAAAAACAAAGAAATAAATGAGTAAATAATAACCACTTTTGCATCCCTGAAATGAAATTTACTTAGAATTTACGAGGTATTTTTTTTTAAAAAAAATTATTTTATTCGGAAATTGGTACAAACATAAAAAAACGTACATATTAAATAAATTTTATAATAAATATGATTTGTTAAATAGTCTAATGCCTCAAAACGGAAGGCAAACACTTGTCCTTTTTTTAATAGCAAAACTAAGTAAGCAAAAAATTGACTCTAGTCAATTTTTTTTTTATATAATAAATACATCAAAATGGAAGGCAAACACTTGTCAAACTATTTTTTATATAATATGTATATATTTTTTTAAATAGTCTATGTGTGTGTGTGTATATATATATATTGCATACATGGATTATATTATATTATATTGTAGAACATATTATATTTTATAAATGTTAATTCATATTATATATATTATATTATATCATACAAATCATATACGGAGTACATAAAATTAACTTTATAAATATAATCACATCTAAAATAGCTATTTAAAAGCAACTAAGTTTGTAAAACATTTTTTTATGAACAAGTAATGTAATCAATCGGTCAAGACAGCTAACTCCACCAATCATTCAAACCAACTAATACAAACAGCTAACAAGCAGCAGCCAACCGGGGCCTTAAACATATTAGGGTCTTTAATGGACCGAAGCCCATATTTATGTAGCGGCAGGAAAGACATTGCGTAGAAGCCCATGTATGGCAAAGCCCTAATTTATAATCATCGCGTCATCTTCCCTCCCACTCCCTTTCCGCAAAACCCTAGCCTCGCCGTCTGAACTTCTGTGCTCGCCACAATGCCGCCGAAGTTTGATCCATCTCAGGTCGTCGAGGTCTACGTCCGTGTCACCGGCGGAGAGGTCGGCGCTGCCAGTTCGCTCGCTCCTAAGATCGGTCCCCTCGGTCTCTCACCCAAGAAGATCGGTGAGGACATCGCCAAGGAGACTGCCAAGGACTGGAAGGGCCTCCGCGTCACCGTCAAGCTCACCGTCCAGAACCGTCAGGCCAAGGTCTCCGTCGTCCCCTCCGCCGCTGCTCTGGTCATCAAGGCCCTCAAGGAGCCGGAGCGCGACAGGAAGAAGACCAAAAACATAAAGCACAACGGAAACATCTCCGTGGATGATGTCATCGAGATCGCGAAGATCATGCGGCCGCGTTCCATGGCGAAAGATTTGTCCGGCACCGTTAAGGAGATCCTCGGAACCTGCGTTTCCGTCGGGTGCACGGTAGATGGAAAGGACCCAAAGGGTTTGCAGCAGGAGATTTGTGATGGAGAGGTAGATATTCCTCTTGACTGATACGCCATTTCATTTCCATTGTTTTTCTTTTATTCCCCTGTGAGAGAATTTTGGATGAGAAGACTTGGTTTTCTAGTTTCAGACATTAGGAGGTTGTTCTTTCATGCTCCATTGAAATGTTGTTTGCTGTTCGTTAAAGTTCAAGATTCTCTTTTGCTTGCATTGCTAAGTTATGCTTTTCTGCTCCCTTTTTCTTGGTTTGTGAAATCTTAGAACACGATTTTGAAAACAGAACTTTCTGTTTTTTGGTTCCATTTGTTTCAAAAATTACATAACTTAGACCAAGTACCTCTTGAAATTGTTAAGCCAAGAAGAGACATCAGACTTGGTTCATCAACAAGTTGAATGGCATAGTTGTAATGCCTGTGCTTTTTAAGTTGGTGTGTTTGATGAAATGATTTGCTGTTGGGTTAAGTTCAAGATTATCCTTTTGCTTGCATTGCTAAATGATGCCATTCCTTGATTAGAAGTGCTTTGAGTTGAAATGTCATTGCTAAATGAATGGAAATGACATGTATCTTAGGGCTGGTATAATGCTTTTCCACTTTCTTTTTCTGGTTTTGTGAAATGGAAAAAAACCCGATTACGTATACAAAACCAGATGAAATCTGTTTTTTGGTGCATTTTTCTCAAAATTTACAGAACTAGTATGACTTGCTGTCTAGTTTAAAGATTATTATTTGACTTATACCAAGTACCTCTTTAAATTGTAAAACCAAGAACATCAGACCAATGGGGATTTTACATAGTTAAACAAATGGTCTCAGTTGTAATGCTTGTCCTTTTGAAGTCCGCATGTTCAATGAATCATTCAACCCAAGGCCTAAGATTATATGCTCTAACCCAACCTTATACCATATCGTGCGGCTTTGTTGCCACTTATGCATATACAGAGAGAGATTGGAGAAGAACATATCGTGAAGAATCTTCGTGCTCATTTACTTTTTGTTACTATACAGAGGTTGTTTCGGTCCTAGTTTTAGAAACATATACTCTTTTAATGGATTGTTAATTTTCTGTTTTGCATCATTTTACCTCTAGCCTCTGCCCGAGTTCGAAACACATACTACTCAAAACACATAATTCAGTTCAAACCCAAACCACAATGTAAAAGAAATAGGCTATAATATAGAGGTAAAATGATCATCTAAATTACAGTATTATCATCTAAATTAGAGGTAAAATGATGCATGTTCACCCAATTAAGTAGGGAATTCATTCCTTTTCTGGATATAATATACTTCCTTGGTCTCGAAAAAAAATATTCTTTCTTTTTTCATTTGTCTAAAAAAGAATTATACTCTTTTTAAAAATGAATGACTTAGAGTACTGGAAATACTTTTGAAGCCCTGGGGCTTCAAAGGTAATTTTTTTAAAAAGAACATTTAATTAAAAAAATTACATTAACTAAAAACTAAAGAACATTATATTTATTCTTGATCTTGTCGTGTCTTCTTTCAAAAACAAAATATATTCGCTTGCTTGTTTCGCTCGATCGAGACTGGACAAAAGAACGTTAAAACCGAAAGGATTCATGTTAAAAAAGATGAAAAAAATTGAAGAATTTTTTTAATTTGAAGTAGAGAGAGATATTGCGTGTGATTAGTTTTTTTTATTTTGAAGAAGAGTTGTGAGTTTTATTTTTAAAAAGGAGTTAATTTATAGAGGAGATTTTTTTAGTTTGTAACGGCTTTGTAGCTCTTTGAATGGAGGGGCCCGTTGCAAATACGTCCGCTAAAGATTTGATGTAGTGAGGATGACGTTCAGATGAAGCCCCATGGAGGCGGCGTTTAATGCCCCTCACAGGTTAAAAAGGCAATGACGCCCGCTGGCGTTACACCCATTGCCAGTGCCCTTACGACTTTGTCGTATGAATATAACTTCTTAAAGCCCAAAGAAGGGACTTGATTTCTTGAGAAACTCTAAACTATCGCTTAATATTTTTGGTAGATTAACATTCATCATACTCCGTAAGTAAGACTCCGTAAGTAAGAGTAAAACATTGTAAATATAAAAAAATAAAAATTATATATTTTTACTCTCGAAATAAGAGTTAAAATGCATTTACGTTACCAATCATGACCATGTACGTAAAATGCACATGTACAATGTTACATTACTACAGAGGGAATTCTTATTTAGAGAATAAAAAATAAAACTTTTATTTTGATATTTTTCAATGTTTTAGTCCTATTTAGGTTGATTTTTATTTATAAAAAAACAAAACTTATTTTGGTACTTAGTGTGAGTCAATATTTGTTTTTTCTCAAAAGTACTTGAGTAGTAGAAATAACTCTAAATATGACTAAAACATAGAAAGAAGTAACAAAATAGGAGTTTCATGTTTTTATTCTCGAAATAAGAGTTCATACTGTGGTAATGTGATTCTAATGTGACATTTTACATGTGCACATTACTATTCTTTTTGGTAATGTACATGACCATGTTTGGTAATGTAAATGTACTTTAATTCCTATTTTGGAAATAAAAACATGAAAGTTCTATTTTAGTATATATTTCAATGTTTTATTCTTACTTTAGTCTTTTTGTCTTTAGGTAGTATCGTACTAGATCAGATTGAAGATGACAGGATTATAGCTATAGCTAACACCCCATTAGTTATTCTGTTATTGTGAATCAGTGGGTGTTGGTTCCTCTATTATTTTAATGTTCTCAATTTTCCATAATTGTATTAATTGAGAAGTTGAACTTATATACTAACTCCGTATTAGTGTATTTATCTAGTTTGACTTTTTGAATCAAACTGGACAAACTTTGAACACCAATTACTCTCAATTTATATTGTATATTACCATAATAAAATATAATTTTGAAAGTTCTCAATACGATAAATCCAATAAAGTCATTTTTATGTTAAAATACATTACGTTTTTTATTTAATTGAAGTTCAGAGTTTGTTCAAAATTATACACAATACACTAGGACGGAAGGAGTAGTTTTTAAAGAAAAATATTACAGACATCGAAGAATTTTTTCCGGGTTAAAGAAATTGATGTTTAGCGGAAGAAAGTTCCAACACTGGTTGAGACAAATTGCGCCGTTTTGAACTTGATGGTGTAAATTACTTGACCGGTCAAACTATACTAGACCGGGTCTAGAATAGTTTGCTTAATTTAGTAAAGTAAGAAAGGTAAAAATACGCAGAGTGACCGGTAGGACTTTAGGTGGAACACCTGTAGCCCAATTTATATTATAACAGAGAATGCACGGGTGCTTTTACAAGGGTGTTTAGAAAGAATGAATTCGGATCCCTACTTCTGAGAGTTATAGCAGTATTTATACTGGGCTAAGGGGGACAGGGCAACGTGCACCCACGTGGAGGCACGTTCTCGGAGGGTGAGAAGTGATGACCTTCGTCCTCTTGTTGCCTTGTCGCCTTGCGAGGGAGATTGTGCCTTTGTCGCGTACTAGCTTGGACAGATTCCTTCAGCATCTCTAGCGATCCTCCACTGACATGTTTCGCTACACGCCAAATTCTTTTAGATTCTCTTCTGCCGACGCTTTCTAACTCTGAAAACTACACCGGGTAGTTTCCCAAAGGTTAGTTTACCGCATTTGAGGGATGAATGAAGTCATGTAGTAGTTTGACCGGTATACTTTTCTGAAGTATACCGGTAATCTTTTAACCAACTCAAGTGGCCGACGATTAACATCTCCCTTGCCTGAACTTTTAGATTGACCGGTCAACTATCCGGTCTTTTCCTTTGACCGGTCATTGGTGGAATACGTCCATCAGAACTATATAAAAAATTCTACAAAATAAAATCGGACAAAAATATTTTTTACTTTATGAAACAAAAAACATTTATACAAAATATAAATCATTAAGAGACTATAATAGTAACTAACTGAAAAGATTAATTTAGATAATAGAAATATTACCCATGTTGCTTTGGGGTTTGGGATTCGTGAGAAAATAATGTGACTTGGGAGTGCATTCATTTGTCTAGCATGCGTTTTCTTTCCCCACCTAATGAATGAAAGTAGAAGTCCACTCATGTTGTAAAAAAAACAAAAAGTGTACACTCTTTATTTCATTAGTTATTATTATTATTATTATCATATGCCCCCTCTTGAGGTAGTTATCCCATGCTATTAACAAAAAAAGAGGAATACTAGAGGTATACCATTTGGTGTACTCCATTTGTACACTACTGATCCTAGATATTGATTTCCTTTTTTATTTTTACTACGTAATTTTTTTCCCTCTCTTGCATTTGTATGGTAGAGATGGAGGGGAGTACAAATGGGGTACAAGAATTGGTGTACCCCTAGTATTTTTGAAAAAAAAGGCTCTTGAGGTAATATACTTTGCTGCAACATTAAGCCAAGCAAACCCCACTTTAACTTCAACCATAATCTTCCATTAATGGAAACCTAATAGTCTAAATCATATTATAAAATAGGCAGTGTAATTAGAATAATTATTTGACCAATAGTATCATAATAATCATCAAAGAAATTTGGTGGTATGAAGTACAAGCTTCGTTGAGTTTGTTATAATAAAAGTCCCGTTTTAACGAGGGTTCCAATGGGGCAGCGCCCCCGAGAGCAAAGTCCAAGGGGCAGAGCCCCTGGCTAGGGCCGAGATGCTTGGTGGGATCTGGGATGTTCTCGGAATTTTTTTATTTTGGACAAAGTGTTGTGTTAAAAATTCACTTGAACTTTTAACTTTCAAAATTTGGGTATAAAGAATCTCCAAAAAAACTCTTCTAAATTTTGCGCGACTAGACGCGAACTTTAGAAGAGAGATGCGACTGCATCTCTTCTCCCTCTCCGCTTCTATAAAAATCCGGCAAGGCTTGGTCAAAAAATATAGAAATTCATTACAATTCATGCTTGTTTTTGATCAATAATTTGAGTTTTATCCAATTGATTTTGGAGTGAACGCCCAAATAACCAATTTGAAAGTGTTATCACGACTCTTAAATAAATCCGTGTTATCTACATTTTCCCCAACATTTTATCTCCAGTTTTCTAAGACTTGAGACTGTCACCTTCAGATTCCAAATTTAGGATTGCAAATTCCTCAGTACACAGATATTAATTAAAATTAATAGTGCATCCAAACTTTAGCCTTCATTTAGAAATAGGGAAAAATAGAATAAGGCCTTAATGGAATGTCACACGCCGACATGGAATGCTATAGCCAATAAAAAACAGTCTAGTCAGCGTGTGGCAAAGGTGTGGAGTGAAGTGTTGTGCAGTGGCAAGTCTCTATTTTTGTCATTTTTTACTTTTTTAATTAAAAATTAATTTACTTTTCTTTTTTCATAAAAATAGATGTACTCATTTTTAGAAAAAAAACTTGATGAGAGTAACAATCCTT